TTTTTTTTTTTTTGAAAGGCTCAACCTGAATAATAATTGTTAGCATAGATAAAGCTCATCATTATTTTTTGCTTACTAAATTAGAAGCTCATCATTGTTTTTTGCTCACTAAATTAGAAAATGCACTAACTTGCTATACTACTGATTTTTCTGCTTTGAATGACCTAGTCATGAATTGTCCTGGGTTTGTGTATGCTTGGACACATAGTGATGTTCTTTATTCTAATTAGCACTCAAATATTTCTTTAAGATAATTCTGTTTTCAGGAAACAGCTTCAGCTTAAATTCGAATGGACTGCCTATCAGGAAAGCTAGGAGTTAAGGAAACAAAACCCTAAAATTTTTGATTTAGAAATACTGTGTGTTAGCCAATATAGAAGGGTTATAAAATTAAAGCACTTTACAACTCAAAATATAGGCAATAATGAAGATTAAATAGAATGCCTATCCACAGGATGAAAAGATGACTAATTTAAAACATGAAATTAAAGAGAGAGCTTAATTTATCCGTAAGTCAATTATTAAGACTATGCTTCAAGCAAATGGAGAATGGATAAAGCCATTTGGTTACTATGCAATTCATTTTACAGGAAGACCCTTTTTCACTAAATTTAAAACAGAGAAAACATCTCAGTAATTATACTGCATCCCATACTGCATTGTGGAACTTTATCTAAACACCTTTTCATTTTATTTAGAGAGTGATGCCAAAGACTATTTTGTATAAAATTCATATCTGAACTAGAAAAATATATTAATATACATGTGCAATAAGGATTAGTTCCCAATCCTATTCTTAGTCCTCAAAAATGACCAAAAAAATTAAAAACTAAAACTTACTTGGGTGTAAGAGTGATGAAGGCAGGAAGGCTGCCGTACGTGTGAACAGAACATGAAGCATTTGTGACAGCACAAGTGTTGATTATGTGAACTGCGGTAAGACACAGTGGTGTTACGTACATTACTCCTAAAGTTTCTCCCCTAGTAGTTACCTGGGGGGGTGTTCTTTATACTACATACTAATAAAGTGTTAAATAGATTATTGCAAAAATATTTTTGCTTAAATCACTTTCTATGACTTTATTACCAGGCGGGAAAGTGAGAGAAGGAAAACCGAATAATTCTTAATTCCTACTTACGCAGTTTTGATGTGCGTAGATTTTTAAAACTGCAAATTAATGTAATAATGACTTTATTTTGTTGGGAAAAATCATCATCCTTTGAAAAAATCTGAGCTAAAAGATGTGATTAAAAAACTTTTTTTCTACAATATCCATCTAAAATAAAATATTCATTTTTGGCTTGGTGCCCATAGTATAGTGGTTATGGTGCCAGCCACATACACCCAGGCTGGAGGGTTCAAACCCAGCCCAGGCCAGCTAAACAACAATGATAACTGCGGCAACAACAAAAAATAGCTGGGCGTTGTGGCAGTTGCCTGTGGTCAGCTACTTAGAAGGCTGAGGCGGGAGAATCACTTAAGCCCAAGAGTTTGAGGTTGCTGTGAGCTGTGATGTGACTGCACTCTACCCAGGGCAACATAGTGAAACTGTGTCTCAAAATAAAATAAAACTAAAATAAAAAACTAAAATAAAATAAAATACTCATTTTCATACATCTCTATACATTTCTGTATTACATAAAAATGAATGGCTTAAAATAATGCAGTTAGAGGTGAGGTTAAAAAATACTTGATGCATTTTACATTAACAAGTCAATTTTTGAAATTCTAACTCCAGGAGAACTTTGCATTTATTAAAGATGCCATGTGAGCTAGCTATCAGTTAGCCAAGTTTATCCTTGGCATATTGAACTTAGATTCAGAAATGGTTTGGAGATTAATAAATGGCAAAATGTAAGTTTAAAAAGAAGACTTTTAGATGAAATATTATGAAAATGCAATACAAATATTTTAGGAGATAGATGAGAAATCAGTGGAACAATTCATTTAAAAATCTCTATTTCTAACATATGTTAGATTCTTTTGGTGCTGAGTCAGAATTATGAAGTGAGAAGAGATATTACAATAGACAACGTATGAGGAAAGCTGCATGTCTATTTTAATTAACTTAGAGGGAAGTCTGAGTTAATTCACGTGAATTTAGTTTACGGATTATATTACTTCACTGGATATTACAGTCCTGACTAGATTTTCAGAGAGTACATAGCTCTAAGAAATAGTTATGTTTAAACATAAACTCTGAATATTTATTCGCAGGAAATAATCAAAATCTTAGAACCTTTTGTTTTGCTTGGAAGATAAAATTTTAAACCCTATTGGTATCATGTAAATAGAATTTTGTTAGAATTTAAATTGTTGGGAAACTACTTTTTCTCAGATAACATATGAAAGGAATTTGTAGGAAATATTTTATCTTTTTAAAGAATATCTTAGCTGTAGAATATAGCATAAACTGATGGCATGGAAAGATTATTACATAATTTAGTATATATATGGATGTCATATCATTTTCAACCATGGAGACTCATCTCTTCAACCAAAATAGTGTGCATGTATATTTGTATTTATCCTAAGACTATAGAGCTGACAAAATTCATAGACCAGAAAAATAGATTATTTGTTATTGTTAAAAGTTATCTTATTTTTAAAGTAAGACAGCATCTAAATACTTCAATAAAAAATAATTACAAGTTTGTGTACAGTCAAAATGCAGTCAATATCTTTGTTAAAAAAAGATAACAATTGTGCCTAGCAAAACTAGGTCATGATTTCTTAAATTTAGAACAAATGGTCCATTGCTCCTTCATTTGCATGTATAAATAATAATAAATGATAAGAAGTAGGAAGACAGAGGCACTAGAATATTATGGGAACAAGTTTTTTTCCTCAGAAAACTATCATATCATTATGTTGCAAGGTGAAAGAAGCCACATGAAATGCATTAAAGCAATCCCACTTCATCTGTATCACTCCATACCCAACTTCAAAAATATCTTGAGGTGTCTTTATAAGCTTCCAGGACTAAAGTAATAGTAAATGTAAGAATAGCAACTTCAAGCCACAGTACACTCATATCAGGTACACACACACACACACACAGAGCACTGGAGAGAGCATCCAAGACATGGTGCCTTGGGTAATCGGCTCAAGCGGGCATGACAGTGTGGGGTAGGGAAGTGGGGACATAAGAGCCAACTTGGATTCATTCACAATATACCCAGGATTCTCTGGTCCCTTAAGAGAGGAAAAAGTAAAGTTCAAAAGATCATAAACAATGCCCAAGCCAAACCTAGTTAAAACTTCCCTAGGAATAATATTTGCATTAATGGAAGGGGTTCCCTGTGGTGACCAACTTGATATGATGAGACTATTTTATTTACATTGCCTGTTCTGCCTAATTAGAGCAGGGAAGAAAATTCACTTGAACCAGTATTCAGAAGCATAAAGAGCACAGCATCAACATTTAGACTCCTTTTCATTATGTTTATTTAAGGATTTAGAACGCTCAGGCTGTTTCTAAGCAAAACATGTAAGTTTGGAAAAATGGTGAGTTTAGTCATCCCAGAGGGTTCACAGTTGAGAGAAATCATTCTCAAAAAGGCAAAGTAAGCAAGCCCCACATTTGCCAATGCTTACAATATTTAAAAAATAAATGGGATGCACACACTTGCTAGTGAATACACACGTACTTGCATTGCCTCATTGTTTCTTTTATAAAAATAAGGATTGTCTGGGAGGTAAGCCTGATTTTTCATTAGAGTTCTTTGTAAAGCAATACTTACTTCAATATATAACTTTCAATCTACAGTTTCTGTAAATATTAACTGTTCAGTTACTGGAGATGATATTATGTTGATTGTCCAAAAAGAGATTATATAGACTGTAGACTATATAGTCTTATCCATATATATTCTATCTGTGTATATACATATGTTATATATACTATATATAATATGTAATATATAGTATATAATAATTTATATTATGTATATGTGTATATATATATATATTGTACCACTACATCTGATTATTCAGATTCCATACAATTAAAAATTTACAGTTAAATAAAATAAAAGAGTATAATAGATCATTTTAAATTATTTTCCAGAGATATTGAAAAAAAACGAAGAAACAAGATGCTGGGAAATAATATGCACAACTTATTTTAAAGTGAACTTTAAAATCAAACTGGGTCTTGGTAATCTGCGATGAAGCTGAGGTTACTGCAGTGTTCGTTTAACATTCTGTCCCCTGCAGGGCTCTCCACTGAGGTGTCTAGTAGAATCATCTGGGCAGCTTCTTGTAAACACACTTTACCCCAGATTGCTGTTTCTGTGAAGATTGTTACAAGATGTATTTGATATTTCTCTTTCGTATATAATTAAAATTATTTTAACCAATCAAACAGCTCTCAGCAAAATGAAGGACAATATTTAAATATCCTTTTATGGAGTGAAGTTTAGGAAAAGAGAATACCCTTCTTAGCTAAGGGAAGGTGTGGTTTGCTGGCCTTTAAATATGAGAGGGCCTGTGTTTCCCCACCACACACTGCCTCAGTGGTGCAGAATATGCTGTCTGCTTTTTACGGATGGCTACATTCCTCTATTAGAGCTAAGAAAGTCAATTTACCATGTCTGAAAAACGGCAAAACTTCTCCAATGCCAAAGCTTCCATCTGTGGGAAGGAAAGTGGGACCAGGAGGGACTGAGAAGTGAGAGAGTCAAGTCACATATGATTACATATAATTATGCACTGGTTTCTAATCACCTACAGAATTCGAACATATGTATGTGTCGATTCACTAGATTCTCACAGTTGCAAAGTAGCTACCCCAAAGTATGAATACAACTTTTAAAAACTAGTTTTTTTTCCCGTGTTGTCTTATTTATGTTTAACCACATTCGCTCCCTAAATATATGAAGTAGTGACTAAAAAATAAAAAGATCTGACAATTTTTGCATTTTTACATTTTCCCAAAGTGTCAGTCACTGGAAAAATTAATCTTTTCATCTTCCTCTGAGCTAAAGGGCAAGGGGCATCACGTATTTTTTTTTTTAAATCTTACTTTCAAACCTGTGGTAAGACTGAGTAAACAGACACTTTGGTAAGAATACATTTTTTAAAGGAGGGGCCACAATTGTCTAAATGTTTCCATTGGATACTGTGACTGTGTGACGTGTGAGGAATGTGGACGATGTGGGAACTCTCCCTGGCATACCATGCACATAGAATCTGTGGCTCATAGCAGATATATTCTAAACTGGTAAGAGGAGAACGAAGGTAAAGAAATGGAAAATACAAATGAAAAAGGAAATCATAATGATAGGGAAAGCGAGTACTGCTTTACGTCTAGTTAATGACACTAGAGGGCAAATGGTCTTTCTCAGTCACTAACAGGAGAGAAAGACAAGGGCTTTGTACCTGTGGCACGGCTTTTGGCCCGTTAATGGTGTTTCAGCCAGTGCCAGGTACCATGAGAGAAAGTGGAAGGAAGCAAGTAAGCAAAAGAGTGGGAGAGAGGAGAGAGGACGAGGGAGAAAGAGAGGATGCAAATAGACCAACAGACTAGGGGAGGTGGAGGAAGTTGAAGTTAATTTCTCCATCACCATGTGTTTCAATATGCAAATAAAACATAATTTTTTTCCCATAAAGATTTAATCAAATGCCAGCACTAGCATCATTTTCTGTTCACTCTATTATTCAGTGTCCCCAGGTGCTGTTCTTTCCATGCTGTGGTTAATCGGGTGTTTACTGGGATAGCGATGATCTTAGAAGGCCAGTTGGAAAGGATGGAGTGAGTAAGGTACTGTATTAGCATGTGATTGATGCAAAGTGGACTCAGTGAGTCATCGACGCTCAGAGCTTTAAACGAAGTTTAATACATTTATAAATTGAATTATAATTTATAATTTAGAAATCACAAGGAAGCCTTTAAAAAATTAAAACTTCCCCAAATGTGTATTTTATATGAGCAAGATTCTTGCCATGAAGACTTACCTTTGACTTTAATGTCCCAGTCTATTGAATCCTGGCCACAATTATACATAATTTATTACTTTGACATTACTCTTTCTATTGCTTTGAAAGACCATTGCTTTAAAAATATCAGTTGGCAGAGTCACATCAGAAGAACTAAACTCAGAGATTTGCTGTCAGTAGAAACTCTCATTTCCATGAACATATAAAGGGTGAGACCTTTACAGTCTGAACAGAAGGGAGTAGCCCCATTCAGGGTACCCACATTCAGTTAGGAGATCCCTTATAACATTATTAGATATCTCCTAATATTGTTTCTAAATACATTTTATGCTGGTTTCATCTTTTATCAGATGATACCAAGGCAACAATAGTACTTTTGTATTTCCCAGAGGGCTTCATAAGCACTGTCTTAAAAAGGAGAAAATTCGCATAAAAAAAGAGATCGTGTGGTTTTGTATGAACTTTTCACTATGGTATTCATAAAAAAGCAATATTTGATGGAAGTCACTAAAGGGGTTAGCTCAGAAAAAGAAACTACTTGGATAATTGCATCTGATGACTTAATTCTAGTAAAACCATTAGCAACACTGTAACATTACAAGTAAGAAATGATACACTTGGTTCATGGAAACAAAAGACAAGCGTTATTCCAGGAAGTACATTAGAAAGAAGTTGATAGAGGTCTGGTGTCACCAGATGCTGTTAAAAGTATTGCTCTGTGTAGTCCTTTTCTCCCTGAAGCTATTTCTGGCATTGTGAGTTTCAGTTGGACACAGTGAAAGGAATGTATCTTTTCATCTCTAGTCCCAAATTTCTTTGCTCTGCATCTCTATGAAATATGATGAATTCGCTTTATAGTGAAAATTGAATTCCACCAAACCCAACACATTAATCACTCACCTTACTCTTTTTCTTTCGCCGAAATCTTAGAAGTTCTTTGTGTTGCCTTGATACAAAATTTACAGCTGCATACTCCAAAAGGGCTGAAAACACGAAAAGGAGGCACACCGCCATCCAGATGTCAATAGCTTTGACATACGAAACCTAGCCAAGACAGAGAAAACCAGCAGGTTGATTTATTTCCTTACTTCCTTTGAGAACAAAACTGAATTTTTCTGGTTCTGATCTATATTCTTTATCTATAAATTGGAAAAAATAAAGGAATGGCAATAATTTTTTCCTAATAAGAATTTTTTCTCAAGAATTTTTGCAATTGTTGTGCATTAATCATACTTTAAAACTTGTGTGCATTTTGTTAAAAAAATTTTTCACATCAATTAGTAGCCAAACCATTTGATGAAAGGAAAAGTAAGATGAAATCTATTTCACCTTCAGAACAATATAAGGCTTGAAAACCAGGAAGCAATATTGAAATGTAGACAACCCTGTTGGCATTTTAATACCATATTTTCATTAAAATTTTTTTACGTTACAAAATATTTTTTAATTTTACCATTTTATTTTATTTTAATTAATTCATTAATTAATTTTGCAGTTTTGGCTGGGGCTGGGCTTGCACCCGCCACCCCTGGTGTATGGGGCCAGTGCCCTACTCCTTGAATCATAGGTGCTGCCCCATTTTATAATTTAATATATTGTCTCTTAAGGTAGTTTTCTTTTAATGCATTTACAAATGAGTAATATATAATTATTGCTACCTACTTTGAAATATTTTAACCTTAAAGACATGTTATAAGAACAGTGAACATGCCTCTCAACTTGCCCCAGTGGCTTGGCTAGAAAACAACATCAAATGCCCAAGAAAAGTTAATATGATTATTTATTTATTTATTTATTTTTGAGACAGAGTCTCATTCTGTCACCTTGGGTAGAGTGCTGTGGTGTCATAGCTTACAACAACCTCAAACTCTTGGGCTTAAGCAATCCTCCTGTCTCAGCCTCCCAAGTAGTTGGAACTACAGGTGACCACCACTATGCCCAGCTAGTTTTTCTATTTTTAGTAGAGACAGTGTCTTGATCTTGCTTGGGCTGGCCTCAAACTCCTGAACTCAAAGGACCCGCTTGTCTTGGCCTTCCAGAGTACTGGGATTACAGGTGTGAGCCACTGCACTCAGCCAATTTTATTGATGAAATTCATCATTTCAATGAAAATAATACTAAAGCTTCCAAAAAAGGATTATTGAATTTAAATTGATAGAATTTTCTTAGAAGTCATTACAAGTGAAGAAAAAAATTTTATATTTCTATGCATCCAAATAGTTGAGAGGAGCTTCATATTTCGAATATTTTATGAAAAGAAATATTGAATCCTTTACAAATCTCACAGAGGGAACAGTTTTATTCTAACTTTGGCGGCTCAGCAGGGACTACAATTGTGGAAGTCAATAAGCATTCTTCCTACTGTCCTAAGGATACTTTAAAGCCAGTGGGGTTGGGGGAAGAGCACATAGAAATAATAAATACCCTATTTAACTCAGGGCACAGCACCAGGGGATATAATACTTGTCCAAGTGTAATTGCTGCAGTGTTTTTCTGGAGGCAAATTTGGCAATAGGTATCAATGCATAGAGCTATCAGTGTAGCAATGATGGTTCTAAGAATATATACTAAGAAAACAATGTGAAATAAGTATAAAACTATGTGTGTGTGTAATGTGTGTGTGTCTGTATCCATATACATGCTCATATACAGGAGGTGTTTATAGAAACATGCATAATGGTGTATGTGATATACGGACCATACACACAATACATATTCATATGTGTAATATTTATTATGTAAGTATTCATTATAGTGTTGGTCTTAAGAATGAGTGAGTAAATTATGGCTTACCCATACAATAGACTACTTTAACACTATTTAAAATTACCTTGTGGATTCAACTTTAAAAAATGTTTGACATTTTTCTAAACATTTAAAAGTCTATAGGTACCAAGAATTCCATGGTGTATAAGAGCAGTGCTGATATTTAAATAATTGAGGATCAGAACACAAAATGTGGATAGCAGATTACCTCTGATTTATCAAATTTTTTCCTTCATTTCTCTTCTTCTTCGTTTCCTGCTTGAGTTACTGTTACTTTAAAAATGGTAATGAATAACAAAAGCTATTGAAAAAGATCTGGCAAAAGCTGAAAATGATCTCTTTACATGTGTAAACGTGTGTGTCTATTTAGTGCGCTCAACTTTTTTTTTTTTATCACTTCCAACATTTAATTGGCACAACAATTTACAAGGGTCCCTGTGACATTATACATTACCCTGAGTAAGAACCGTTTAGCCGTCTACATTCATTCTTATTGGATATTTTTTCTCAAACTGTAATTCCCAACCCTGATTTCACCTGTGACAAAGGGGACAAAGTAGCCTCATGAAGTAGACTGTACCTGTAAAAACATATTTTGCTTTTATTGCATGATTTACTCCATTAATTTTGTCTTTCTAAAATTGTCTATGAAAGCAGAGGAAAATACCTGCCAAAACAATTAATCAGGACATAATTAGTGTTCCTGGCTGCAGAGCACTCACCTTTGGTAAGGAAGCTCGTGACCCCGAGCTCTGTGTGGTCATGGTGAGTACAGTGGTTATTCCCAAAGCCACCCGGGCCGGAGCTGCATCCATGTTGATCCAGAAGGAAACCCAGGATAGAATGACAATCAGGAGACTGGGGATGTACATCTGGATCAGATAGTATCCCATTTGTCGTTCAAGATGGAATCGCACTTCTATACAGGTAAACTTTCCTAATTGGTTATAAAACAAATCCAGCCAGTAGTAAAATTTAGGATTTTTTTTATGGCATCAAATATCACAATTTCATTTTTGTAATTTATTTTGCTATAAAACATTTCCTTGCAATGAAAAGAGACCTTAAATAACATGCTTGAATTGATTCCTGGAAAATATTTTTCTCGATTAGCATCTAGTGGCCATGTAACGAGTGAGTGTGCTGAGTGTGCTCTTGCAGGAAGTGGGATCAGTGTGGATCAGTGGGGTCAGCTACTCCTTCCCACTTGAGTAGCACGGCACACTCGTCAAAGTGTGCAAAGATACTCTGCGTGCCTTTCTACTTGATTTTAACTTGATTGCTTGTGTTGATTTTAACAGCTGCTTTTGAGATAGACAGGAGAAAATTTATTATATAAGATAGTTTTTACTCATTGACTGTTCCTGATGCTTTTAGGTATGAATTTAGAGGCATAGGTCTTAAAGTGTTGAGGGGCAAATACAATTGAGGGGAAATCATTCCTTAAAAAATAAAGCAAATGATAGGGAACGGTACGTTATCTCTCATTACCAACTTTAAACATAATACTCAAATGAGATACATTTGTACTATATATTTATGACTTTGTGTCTCTGTTGTTTACCTATATTATGGTAAGTAAGTACAGATGTAAATTAAAGCTTAATTGAACATCAAGTCAGTGTTTCTGCTTCCCACCTCATTTCACTCCCTGCTCTGCTACTCCACTACTCCAGGTTATCTGTCCTGTAAAAACATATTCTAAGTCACCCAGTTCATGACCTTAGTGTCTCCTGATCCTCATCATTTTGAGAAAGATGAGGTCAGAGCGGTAATATTCTCTGACTCATCATGAAAGGAAGAGGTTAAAGAGCGTGTTTGCTCACCAGGAAAGTCACTACTATCTTTCAAGGTAGGGTTTGGTACAAAGCTTTTATTAGTGTGACTTGGGATACAAGTGGGCACAACACAAGAGGACTAGCTCTGGGTGAAGATGGGATGTGATTCTAGGGCTTAAGTCTCAACACAAGTTCCTAAGCTCTGGGAAAGTTGGGTTGCACTCTTACATGTGTAGCAATCAGAAACATATGTGCAAACACACACGAACCTTTTGTCAGTTTATCAAATCCGTACAGAAGACCTAAGAATCCTGAAGTGTCTGAAAACACTGACTCAGTGAAGTGTGCAAATTTCCTTTAGGCTAAGGAAGCATCTCAAGACACTCTTATGAGAAAATATTCATCCTGAGGTGATGTTTGCAATGGTAGGAACAGTATCTCCCTACCATCCACACCCACTGCCTACCCAGAATCTGTGACTGTGACTTTCTTTGGGAATAAGGTGTTTGCAGATTAATCAAGTTAAAATGAGGTTCTACTGGATTGAGGTTGGCCCTGAGTCCAATGTTGCTGATGTCCTTATAAGAAGAAGATTTGGGCACAGAGAAGAAGAATGCCACAGGACAGTGCAGGCAGAGCCTGGAGTAACAAACCTTTGAGCTCAGGGACACTAGGACCACCAGAGAAGACAGCGAGGAGGAGGCAGGGAGCACCCTGCCCAAAGCCTGAGAGGAAGCCTGCCTTGCCAACACCTCCATCTTGGACTTCTGCCTTCAGAACTGTGAAAGTGTAAATGTCTGTTGTTTAAGCCTCCTTGCTTGTGGCAGTCTGTTGTGGCAACTGTAGGAATGAATGCACCTCCCTGACCCTACTCTAGGGACTTTTTAGCGTTTCTCTGAAAGGAATTTATTAATACAAACACCCTTAGCGTGCTGAACTAGGACACTGATGGTGAATTGCCTTTGTGTTGAGATGTTAACCTTGAACTCCCTAATAAGTTAGATAATAGTTTAGTCTCTGAGTTAAAAAAAAAAAGGCAGTGACCTTTTGATCAGATACTAAACTACTTGGGAGGCTGAGGCAGGAGGATCACTTAAGCCCATGAGTCTCAGGTTGCTGTGAGCTATGATGATGCCAGGGCACTCCACCCAGGGCAGAAGAGTGAAACTCTGTCTCCAAAAAAAAAAGAAGAAGAAGAAGAAGAAGGAGGGGGAGGGGGAGGAGGAGGAGGAGACATTGTGATAAGTGAGACGAGGTGCTCTGTATAGAGAAAAGCCAGACCACAGTTCCTGAAAATGCCAAGCCCAGGATGAATCAGTTACTGTAATGAAATGGTCAGAGCAGCAGCAATGTTGGAGGCAGATGGTATGTGTACTCACTACAGCGAGGTGTGCCTCACTCGTGGGCAGTTTAATAGAATTCATAGATTATGCAGTTAGAATAGGTTTTATAGGAACAGCTTATGTCAGATAAGAGAGGTGAACAGACTCTGTGCCTGTATAAATATCACACAAGTCTCTCAGTCCTTGTTAATAAAGACATCTAATATTTATCTGAAATGCAAAAAGGCTTCTGTGACAGTGAGAGTGGCAGGTAGTAAAGAGAAAAATACCTTGAAATGTGTGACAGTATGCCAAAGGGAACATTTAGGCGAATGAAGTCTATTTTTATTTTTGTTTATTTTATTTTATCTTATTTTATTGTTGAGATAGAGTCTCATTCTGTCACCCATGCTAGAGTGCCATGGTATCATCATAGCTCACAGCAACCTCAAACTCCTGGGCTCAAGCAATCCTCCTGCCTCAGCCTCCCCAGTAGCTGGGATTACAGGAGCCTACCACCATGCCCAGTTAGATGTTCTGTTTTCAGCACTCTTGCTCATGCTGGTCTTGAACTCCTCACCTTCAGGGATCCACCTGCTTTGGCCTCCCAGAGTGCTGGGATTACAGATGTGAGCCACTGCACCCAGCCTGAAGCCCTTTTTAATATAAAAATTTGTTTTTCTTTAATTTTATTAGATATAGTGTTAATTTCCCACGAGGAATATATATATATATATATATATGCACACACACAATTTAACAACAAAAAAGTTTGAATATAATTGGACACCAGGAATTTCTTAATATAATTGGACACCAGGAATTTCTTTGATCCCATACAAACTGATTATTCAACAGTATGCAGTGAGTCAGTCCGTAACTCTCAAATGACATCCCATGATTTCATGCATCAGAGAAAGACAGTGAGCCACGAATAAGTAAAAGAGTGATTCTAGCATCATGACTGAGAAGCATCCAGATACCATAAAACCAAAATCGTAAGTGCAAAGAAGACTACCCAACCCCTACCTGTGTTGTAATGCTTAGTGCAGTAGCGTAAATCTTTTTCTTCTTTTAATAGAAACTGGGGCAAAGTAAGTCCTTCTGCCACTTGTACAGGAGCCTCATCTTGCCATTCAAAAATGAGGTCATTCATTGTATATCCAACTAGGTGAAACAGAATAGAAATGGGCAGTCACATGGGATGAGAGGGCCACATAGTGTCATCTCATCTCAATTGGCTGAGCTATACATTGCCTGATTCCACGTCTCAAAAGTCTATTGAAATCCGTTCATATGGAACACTCACTAAAATAAGGGGAGAAAATGAAGTAGATGCATAAAAAAGACAATATGCCATGTAGAAACTTTAAGGGACATGCACAGACATTCTTTACTTGGTGTAGGTAGTTAGTGGGTTAATTCAGAATTTTCATTTTGATTCCACTCTATTACATTTCTTCTCCTCATCTTTTCTCAAATTAGTCAGGAATCTTTCAACTTAAACTGAAATTGCCAGTGGGTAGAAAATGACTTAACCTATAAGATCTATGAAGGAGAATTTTAGGTTATGATATCTATAAGGTGTAATTTACTGAGACAATGTGAATTTAATTGTATAAGGTTATAATCATCTGCAGTTTGAAAGACGTAATAAGGCCAAAATGTCAATAACATATATAAAACACCATATAAATAAAAATAAAAAGATAATCCCACATAAAAACGGGCATAGGTTTAAACAGGCAATTTCTAGAAGAAACAGTAATGGTTACTAAGTAGGCAGAAGAAAGACGGCTCCATCTAAGGAAGGTGTGTAAAGGAAACACAATTTTAAATCCGTCACATTATAAAAAAGCCTTAAGTCTCACGTAAAATGGCAATGTCAGTATGAGCTTGATACAAAAATGATTTTTAATTTTCTGTATTTTTGTTTGAAATATGTTTTAACCCATACATGTGTATATATACACACATACATGCATATATGCAGACATCTATATCTGTGTGTGTATGAAAGTAAACGAAAACAGCAGTGAAGCAAAACCATTGGATGCCTGCCTTGCCATTCCTGTGACGCTTTACTGGAGCGGAGTGAAGAGGGCTGCAGTTTCAGGAAAATGCATTCATTACTGTTTGTTTACTTTTCACTTTCTACTATTCACATATTTTAAGTACAAATATCTCATTTTTAAAACATCATTCAAATTTATTCTATTATCAGTTTTTAAAATCAAATAATCTTTGGTACTTTAGAGTGGCTTAAAAGACTACAGAAGAGAAAAAGAAGTTATGGTATAATGGTATAATACTTTATACCATGGGTATATAGTATATATAGTATATAGTATTTATACCAATACTTTATACTATACAAAAGATGTGGAAACAACCAAAGTGCCCACCAACCGAGGAACGCATTAATAAACTGTGGTACATGTATACCATTGAGTACTATTCAGTCATAGAATGATGGAGATGTATTAACCTGGATGGAGTTGAAATACATTCTTCTTAGTAAAGTGTAGCAAGAATGGAAAAGCAAGTATCCAGTGTACTCAATACTAATATGAAGCCGGTAGACAGACTAATACTTGCCCACACAAGAGAGAAACTCTATTCAATTCAAGTTGGGGGAGGAGGAAGGGAGTGGGAAGAGGGGAGGGGTGGGAGGGATTAGTGAGCTCCAACCTAATGGACACATGTTAGGGTACAGGGCACAACTGTACCTGGGGATGGGGTGACTACAACTCTAGCTAACAAATGTAAACATTGTAACCTAGTTGTTTGAACCCTCACGTGAACCTGAAATTAAAAAGAATATATTTCAGTTCAAAATGAGTTTAGAGATTTACTAACCAATCACAGATTCATGCTTTTAGAGAGAGAGATTTCTGGTTTGACCCAGTTTGCAGATGTTTATGTTCTTAATCAGCAGCTGGAATTAAAAAAAAAAAGAGGAAAATGTTCCCTCTTGGCACATCTCAGCTATTGCTAGGAGAAAAATTGCTCGAGTAAATTTCATTGACCTGACAAGGAACAACTGCTATGTCAAAATGTATTTAACTAAAACATTTTCATTTATAATTTGTGCATTTAATTTGAATATCCTTACCATAAACCAAGCTATTACATGTGGTTTTATTTAAATGCCAGGTCTGCTAATCTAAGTGTCTTCTTGCCAATTACATTTTCTCTAAAATCTTCTGGTATAACTGACCCATAAACATTACCTTACAAGTGCTCTGGTTAAATTTCTATTTGAAGACCTAAGACTCTTTCGTATATTATACTCTTCCCCTCTTTCTCTTGGGATAACTGTGAAAATGTAATTTGTGACTCCTAACTGCTCTTCTTAAATGACAATCATGATAATCACTTTATTCACAATGCTCAAAACTTCACAAGATTGCACATATAGTGTTTAAAATTCTTGTGAGAATTTTCAACTAAAATCAAAAAAAGACCCAACTCTGAGCCCTTATTTAAGGAGGAAAGGCATTATGATTGGATGGCTTTCTGGCCTACAGTAGGGCTCTGGCTAACTACTTCTTTAGAATAAACTTTGGGTTGTGGGAAAACATAATATGTCTGTCTCCCAGAATGTTACAAGTCCACATCTGCTCAAATTGAGTTGAGTGTGAAAATAAATTCATTGAATAGGTCCCAAAGCATAAACAAATGGACACCAGGAGTCCAGTCATTTTGGCAATATCTAAAGGTTGAGTAATGTTTTCAGCAGAGACTAGGAAGGCATTATGATAATCCTTGGACTGGTCTCAGGATTTTTGATGCCCAGTATTTCACTGTCACTGCCCATCTACAACAATCAAACCCTCAGCTAATCGTAGAGAAGAAAGAGCTACAGGCTGTTAGCAAGAAAATCCTCTTCAGATTCTGATTTCTGAAAGTATTTGCAGAGCGTTATTATGAAAGATATTGATGATGCTACAAAATTAAAATTCCAACATGACAGGGTAGTTTAAACATCAGAGGATAAAATTATACCTTTTAGTACTTCTCTTCAAGGCAAACTGTTATAAAATGCCTGTCCTTGTAACACATCCATGGAAGTGCTCAAGGGAAGGTCATGAGCATGATAATGGACATGGCCTTAGCCTTAACCCTAACCCTAATCCTAATACTGGGATTCACACAGTATAACAAAAACTGATGCAGAAATCTAGATGTTGCTATAAATTATTGTTTTATAATGTGCCATATATATAAAGCCTTCTTGTTCCTCTCAGGTTTCTATGTATAGTCAAATTACATAGCAAAATTAGTGATGACTCAAGAAAAGTTCCAAATTTATAGGAGTCTTATTATATTGTTGTGAGAACTATTATAATAAAATTGTACTTAAGTCAGTATGTTTTAATTTTGTTTTTTGTTTGTTTATTTGTTTATTTTGAGACAGAGTCTCACTTTGTCACCCTCGGTAGAGTGCCCATGGCATCATAACTCACAGTAGCCTCAAATTCTTGGGCTCAAGAGATCCTCTTGCCTCAGCCTCCCAAGTAGCGGGGACTACAGGTGCCCATCACAATACCTGGCTAGTTTCAGAGAGAGGGTCTCACTCTCATTCAGGTGGATCTCAAACACATGAGCTTGGGCAATTCACCCGCCTTGGCCTCCCGGAGAGTCAGTATGTTTTTAAATATGATATCCTATGATAGCATCATCACATCAAGAAGTATCAAAGGCTTACTATTTTAAATTCTGTGCATCACAAAGGAACCAGAAGTTCAAAACTGTGTCTATTTTAATTTATCCTTATGATATTTTAGAGAATTGTTATTTGTAACACTCTGGCAGGCCAAGGCAGGTGGATTGCCTGAGCTATGGGTTGGAAATCAGCCTGAGCAAGAGCAAGACCTCCATCTCTAAAAAAACTAGCCAGGCCTTGTGGTAGGCGCCTATACTCCCGGCTACTCAGGAGGCTAAGGCAAGAGAATCACTTGAGCCCAAGAATTTGAGGTTGCTGTGAGCTATGATGCCAGGGCACTCCACCAAGGGCAACAAAGTGAGACTCTGTCTCAAATTAAAAGAAAAGAAAAGAAAAGAAAGAAAGAAATTAAAAGAACTCAATTTAGAAGTAGAGCCAGAAGACATGATTGAATTGCCTCAATCTCATGATCAAACTTGAAAAGGCGAGAAGTTACTTCTTATGGATAAGCAAGGAAAGTGGCTTCTTGGATGGCAACTCCTCTTGGTGAAGATGCTGTGAGCATTGTTGATATGACCACACAGGATTTAGAATGTTATATAAATTTAATAAATGGTGAACTGTCAGGGTTTGAGAGGATTTTGAAAGAACTTCTGAGAGTGAAGTGCCATCAGACATCATCATATGCTGCAGAGAAATCCTTCATGAAAGAGGAGTCAACTGATGCAGCAAACTTCACTGGATTTTGTTTTAAGAAACTGCCACAGCTACTCCAGCCTTCAGCGACCACTACTGTGGTTGGTTAGCAGCCATGAACCCTCCACCAAAGAAATGATTATAACTTGTCAAAGGCTCAGATTGTTAGCATTCTTTGGCAATAAAGTATTTTTAAGTTAAGATACACTTAAAATACAACTTAACTTCAGGTTAATTTGAGGGTACAAAGAATTAGGTTACAATGTTTTCATTCGTTAAATACAGTCCCTGTGGTAGTTGTGTCCTGCACCCAGGAGGTGTGCCATACACCCTTACATTGTGCCCATTAGGTGGGAGCTCACCCATCTCGCCTCCCCTCACCCCTCCTTCTCTCACACCCCTCAATTTGAATTGAACTAATTTTTTGTGCTATGTGGGCTATATTAGTTCATCTACTGGCTTCATATTAGTATTGAGTACATTGGATACTTGCTTCCATTCTTGTGATGCTTTACTAAGAAGAATGTCTTTCAGCTCCAGGGTAATGTAAAAGATGTGAGATCTTTAGTTGTAACACCACTACACACTTAGTGCACTATAGTGGAAGGTAAAGATGACTTTTGTGTGCCCCAGGGAAGAATTTCACATGACCAGCCTTCTTGTGATAGTCTGGAACAGAATGTGTAATGTATCTGAGGTGCGCCTATATTCAAATGTCTATTCCATAATGGCTGTGCTGGGGAGATCTGTGAGGCTATTGGTGACTTAGAAAAAGAATGCTGTTTCTAGGAAGTAGTTGAGATTCTATTGATGGTATGTTTCTATTGTGTTTATGTATAAGGGACATACAGAAAACTCTCATATTCAAGGAGTCACACATTATAATTATTGTTTTTAATCAACAAATCCAGTGAAGCCTGGGGAAGGGAAATGGTATGAATCTCCCTTATTCCCTACAAGTGCTAACAATTTGGCAAGACTTCTTTTTTTCCCCTAGATCTACCTCTGAATATTCTTTTCTACTCTAAGGGGAAAACTCAGAGAAATCAACAAATTTCTGGGGTTAGGGTTAAAATTTTGTATCATCCAGGGTTTTAGTTCTAAGTCATGAATGTGTACGTATGAGTGTGTGGGATCATCACTAGTTTATACAAAATGTTCTTTTCTAAGTTATTTATTCACTCTTAGTTCTGTTTTTACTCACTTCTTTGTGCTAACAGGATGCCCTTGCATATGCTTATTTCTTTAATGGAATTATTGTCTGTGCATATAGAACTCAAGTAGTTCCTAAAGTCCTTGAAAGCAGAGACTCCTGTGCTCTATTTGTTGTGGGCTCCACTACCCCACATCACATGTGGGGGTACTTGGTAGACATGAAAGAACATTCCCCAGAGCTCTTAGCAGTCCTGACACACAGTGATTGAACATTTATTGAATTTAAGAAAATTGTGCCACCACAGGCCATTAAGCCTTTAATTTATGGGTGGTGGATGTTCTTGGTTTTTATTTTATTTTTTGCCTGCTTTCTGTGTCTTGTTAAGTCAGTTCTTGTCTCCTGAAACATAAGTTTTTCTATTCTAAAAGGGGTTAGTTAATCTAGGCACTGTGCTTTTTCCTTAATTACTCTTTCATAGCATTCCTGGTTTAACAGATTTCACTTCTTGCTCCTACTTGCTCATCACTCACTTTTATTTACTTTTATTTATTTACGGAGACAGGATCTCACTCTGTCACCCTGAGTAGAGTGCCCTGGCATCATCACAGCTCAAAGCAACCTCAAACTCCTGGGCTCAAGCAGTCTTCCTTCCTCAGCCTCTTGAGTAGCTGTGACTACAGGTAGCAGACACCATGCCTGGCTAGTTTTTCTATTTTAAGTAGAGATGGGGTGGGGTCTCACTCTTGCTCAGGTTGGTCTCCAATTCCTAAACTCAAAGGATCATCTTGCCTCAGCTTCCCAGAGTGCTGGGATTATAGGTGTGAGCCTCCATGCCTGGCCTCATTACTTACTTTTAAAAAGACTTTTTAGAATCCAGCTTTGACTCTCATCATTCTAATCACACTGGTCTTTGTCCAACAATAGAACAGCTCTTTTTTCTAATTATCTGTTTTTTTAAACACTTTTCCAGCATTTGACACTGTTAAATAGATCTGAACAGTCTTTTCTCTTTTAAAATGGAATAACATTAATTTTAATTTGCCGTCTATGACAACCCTTGTCTGGAATTTTCCCCAACAACTTCTAAATGTGAGCATTTCTTAAACATCTCTTCTTGTTGCTGTTTTCTTTTCCTTGTCTTCTTCAGCTGTTTCATCTGGTTCCTTTAACAACTCTGCATATGGCTCCTCATAGTTTTATCTCCATTTCTAACTCCTCCATTTGGCTTTAGACCTAAATTTCCCAGTCCTCAGATATATTAAGATTGGATTTATCAATATTCCCCGCAACATTTGAGTCTCATCCTGTGTTTTCTTTTTTTGTTAATGTTTCTAATGTAATCCCATTTTTCTCAGCTCTTTAGCTCTGACTGCAAGACATCCAACACCTTCACCTCCACATTGTGTCAATCTCTGTTGTTTCTGCTTTGGTGTCATTCTCCTTGGTTCCTACTTTACATTTATTTTGCTATGAAAACTTACTAAATAGTCTTTGTTTTGGCTAAAATAATCTTTAAGACACACAGCAAAGACCAAATAATTTTCTTGCTTCTTAAATCTTGAATTCAGTGCCTATTGAGTAACATCCAGCATTGCCAGCATCAGAAATCAGGCCCTGGGAGACAGTTTTGTACTTCTTGTATTTTCTTTGTACTCTAAATTTCAGCCAAGGTACATAATCAGCTTGTCCCCAAATCATCTTCCTTGTTGCCCCTTCCCATTTATATTGGTCACTAAGTAGCTCTCTCGATTTTAGTTTAATTTCTTCTGGCTTAAATGTGTACTTCACCCATGTGCATTCTTGTATTTCATAGCTACTTGCAAAAATAACCTATTAAATGTTATCATAAGGACTTAGTATCAAAGAAATAGAGATTTCAAATGGGGAGAGGGCGAGGAATGGTCACGTCCCCCACATGGTCGGTGCGCCATCTCGTGGCACTCCCAGCACACTGCAGACCCTGCCTTTGACATCTGACATCTGAACACCTTCAAACTTTCCTTCAGGAGTGTGTCAAAACCAATATGCATGTAATGCTCGGTGTATAGGAGGCCCTTAATTTAAAAAATGGTAGTTTGTGCTATTCATTGGCTCACACCTGTAATCTCAGCACTCTGGGAGTCCGAGGTGGGAGGATTCTTTGACCTCAGGAGTTGGAGACCAGCCTGAGCAAGAGCAAGACTATGTCTCTACTAAAAATAGAAAAACTAGCTGGGTGTGTTGGGTTCCTGTAGTCCCAACTACTGGGGAGGCTGAGGCAGGAGGGTCGCTTGAACCCAAGAGTTTAATAGCTCATGGTTGCTGTGAGCTATGACGATACCATGGCACTCTACCCAGGGTGACTTTGTCTTAAAAAAAAAAAAAAAAAGGTTTGTTTTCAGTGATTATCATCTTTCTTACTTTTGACAATGTATATAAAGACATATATTTGATTTTAAGCTTAAAAA